TTTAATAATTGTTTTAGTAGATTGTGGCATTTTCTTCAAGTTAAGTAAAAAAAATCTAATACTTGCTTTATTTGTGTTTTATGCTTATACAAATTATCGTCTATTTGTGAGTAAATTAAGCAGCTATATAGTTTTGTGAGTATTTTAATGGATTGTGGTTTGTCAGAATGAGTGCATTTAAAAAAGGTCAAAATAGTGTCATCGTTTCATAGCTCGAAATAGGGCTGGGCGATGCATCGAAAAGTTATCGAAATCGACATTGAGAATCTATAATCGATTACATTTTTCCTGCTCACTTTTTTCAATGACTTTCCATACCATGTGTTGAGTCTCGTGACCCCGCTCTGTTAAGGTTAATTTATACTTATTATATTATGATTTATATTTGGTATATTATTTTAATATCATACTTCTGCCAAGCGCACACGTACGGTCCGGCACAGCTCAAAAAATGTAACCACACGTCACAAAGACGTGCTTTCACAATCACAAGCTTTGTGATTGATCGATTTGGTAGCCGTGACGAGGGTGGGTGGCGCAAAGAGCCATGTTTTAGGCAATGTGCGTTTCAAATTTTTTTTATGGTTTAATATGTTTTAATAGTTTTTTAACGTTGATGTTTAATAAATAAAACCCTAGATAGTAGATAGTGTGTGTTTACTTCAATTATTTTAAAATCAAGCAATGCACCCTACTTTCAAAAATATTGACTGTACAAAACTTGTCAGTGAACTATGAGGGCAAAAACATTTGCGAGATTTTGATTTTAAGACAAATCGCTCAGGCCTAGCTTGAAAGATTGTTCATAACGGAGGAATTTCTAGATTTACTGAAAGTGAGCACCCTGGTGCATAAAAAAATGCCATTTTGTAAACAAACTAGCATTTAAAGGGTTACTATTCTATAAAGTAATGAACGTTTGATAATTATGTATGATTAGAACTGATGCAAGTAGGAAAAAAATGTAATATGTTATATGTTTTTGGACATGGACATTTCTTGGACCAGAGTGATGTTTTTTGTTATTTTTATTCTTTTTCCCAACAAATAAACAAGAAGAGTTCAGATGCTGAAACCTTAGAAAGTGCCGTCTGAAATTTCCATCAAAAATTATTATTATTTTTTTGCCTCCTTTGATTACGTTGAGATATTTCACTTTAAAGACCAGAAAAATTACTTATTCTTTGCCATAAAAGTGATATTACAGAACATACCCACAGGAACGTGATAAAAATGCTCATTTTAAAGGAAAATTTCTCAATGCATTTAAATGTTTTTGCATCTAAACTCTTTATATACAAAACATAAATGCCTCAAAATGAGTGTTGTTGTTTATCTTCGACACATCCAAGACTGTAATTAAATTATTATATGAACAGTAAACACCTTCATATTTTGTCTAAAATGTATAACTCTACTTTTTCTGAAGTTTTTCCTCATATTTTCAGATGTTAAACAATTATTTAAAGTATCCTTCTCCGTTGTTATCTACTTTTTACAGAAAGTACCTTGCTATACAGTGAAAATCTGGTGATAAACAAGTTCTTCTCCATTGTTTCCATCATATAGTCAAAAGAACAATGTCTATGAGTTTGTGTGCTCACAGTTCAGCATATTTCCTGAGCCGATCTGTGCGTCTGCTGACTAGAACATGAGTCACATAGCTGGACTTGCAGTATGTGTGGGTTTGATATACATCTTGATTTTTTGAAATGATGTGCATGACCCACTGAAGATAATGAGTTATATACTATTCAGGCGAACAGGGCAATGGGTTCATGTTTTCTGAGAACTGCTGGCTGCTATAGGTCTGTTTTCCCTGAACTTTGTTTTGATTTTTAACTTCAGTTTCGTTTTTTTTGTTTTTTTTAAATCACATTCTTTCAAAACATATTCCCCACTCTGTTATGATGATTCTGGGAATGTAAATGATTCTGTGATTAAATAAACAAATTACAACAGAATTGTAAAAAAAAAATTATATATATATATATATATATATATATATATATATATATATATATATATATATATATATATATATATATATATATATATATACACACACACATTTTTGTTTAACAGAAATAAGATTTTTTTTCGACACATTTCTAAACATAATAGTTTTAATAACTCCTAATTTCTAATAACAGATTTATTTTATCTTTGCCATGATGACAGTAAATAATTTTATTTTTTCAATTTATTATTTTAAATAAAATATTTGACTAGATATTTTTAAGACACTTCTATACAGCTTAAAGTGACCTTTAAAGGCTTGACTAAGTTAAGTAGGTTAACAAGGCAGGTTAGGGTAATTAGGCAAGTTATTGTATAACGATGGTTTGTTCTGTTGACCAGGGGTTCTCAAACTTTTCACCCCGGAACCCCCAAAATAACAATGCCAATGACTCGCGATCCCCACTATTTTCGGAAGTGGTTATAATCATACGAACGTTGCACACAACCCACACAAACCAATAGGCCTATATAAACACAAGCATATTGGCAACACAAAAAAGTGCAACAGTCTTACAACCATATCATTTTTTCTAATTATTTAATATTAACCTCACCTAATGAGACTGGTGGGCACAATATTTAAGTCTTTTCTGGGTTTATTTTGTAGACTGCCACTTAAAGATCATCCTTCATGTTCAGCCTTGGCCTGTATTTATTTTAGATGTATGTGAGTGCTGTAAAGGTGTCAGTAAGTTTAGCTAGTGCCAAAAAATCAATCTAGTGCAACTGACGCTATTGCTCTGTCGTTAATATAATGTAAAAACCCTAGGGGTTGCAATCCAATGTAAAAAAAAAAACAAACCAAAAAAAACAAAAAAATAAATAAATACATAAATAAATTATGACTTTATGTTTGGATATTGTATTTGTAACTATTTTTATCTTCTTTAGGTTATGGATTAACAATGGTCATTTTAAAAGTTTAATCAAATTTATTAGATTTTTGGAAATCATCAAGCGACCCCCTCTCATTGTCCCGTGTCCCCCCATGGGGTACCGACCCCCACTTTGAGAACCACTGCTGTAGACTATCGAAAAAAAATATATAGCTTAAAGGGGCTAATAATTTTGACCTTAAAATGGTTTAAAAAAAATTAAAACTGCTTTTATTCTAGCCGAAATAAAACAAATAAGACTTTCTCCTGAAGAAAAATATTGTCAGAAATACTATGAAAATATCCTTGCTCTGTTAAACATAATTTGGGAACTATTTAAAATAATAATAATAAAAGATTCTTAATATTGGTATTTTCACATGCATTTTGCATTCTTTTTTCAGTTTTCCAGCTGTAGTTATACTGGGTTTTTGTTTTTGTGGCTTTTGTTGTTAGATGTAGTAACTTGGTGTACTTTCTGTCTATTTCGTCTGTGTTGTATATATGGGGACAGAAAAAAATAGGTAACACTTTATTTTGATGGTCCAATTGAGTATTAGTAGACTGTCTGCTTAATATCTGCTGATACAGCTCCTTCAACAGACATTTAACTGAAAAGAAACTTTGCAAGTACATGTAAACTTACACTAACCCTAATAGGTTACTTATAATCTAATGAGATTTAGTTACAAAGTTCAAATGCTTAAATAAAAAATAAAGAACTTTTTGCACATTTTACATAGTTCAATTCATGAAATTAACTTAAAAAAACCTGCATGCAAAAACTTTACAAAAATATTGACTTACTGCTATTATAAGAATATGAAAATGAGATCAAACAATGTTTTAATGAATTTGTATTGAAGTCTTTCTGTTATTTATTTTCTATTAAAAGTTAATGATGTTTAGTTTGGACTGTATGTGAATTTACACTACCTGACAAAAGTCTTGTCATCGATCCCAGTTGTAAGAGCAACAAATAATAACTTGACTTAAAGTTGATCATTTGTAAAAATGTCAGAAGGTAGATTTTATGAATAACGAATAATCTGTTGAGCTGCATCCCAATCATCACAAATACTGCAGAAGACCTATCGGGACCTGCATGGACCCAAGATTCTCACAGAAATCAGTCACGTTTGGTAAAGGAAAAATGATGGTTTGGGATTACATTCAGTATGGGGGTGTGCAGGAGATCTGCATAGAGGATGGCAACATCAACAGCCTGAGGTTTCAGGACATTTGTGCTGCCCATTACATTACAAACTACAGGAAAGGGCAAATCTAAAAAAGGATAGCGCTCCTTCTCACACTTCAGCCTCCACATCAAAGTTGCTGAAAGCAAAGAAGGTCAAGGTGCTCCAGAATTGGCCAGCCCAGTCACCAGAATGAACATTATTGAGTATGATGGGGTAAGATGAAGGAGGAGGCATTGGAGATGAATCCAAAGAATCTTGATGAACTCTGGGAGCCCTGCAAGAACGCTTTCTTTGCCATTCCAGAGGACTTTATTAATTTGTTTGATTCAAATGATTTGAGTCATTGCAGAGATGTATGGATGCAGTCGTCCAAGCTCATTGGAGTCAAACACAATATTATATTTTTCCACTGCACCATGACTTCTACACTTCTTCACTGTACACTATTTCTGTTAAGTGACAAGACTTTTGTCCAAGCAAAGTCAGACCTCACTGTCCTAATTAAATATTTAAAAATCAAGGCATGATCATATTTTATGTTTGGTCAGATAAGCGTACTCCAGAGGCCTTTCCCTTTTATATAAGCCACTTCTGATACCAAACAATCAACTAGAAGTCAAGTTATTATTTGCTGGTGCTAAAACTTGGATAGGCGACAAGACTTTTGTCAGATATTCGAATGTAACAAAAAACGTTCATGAGATTTTTCATTAAAATTATTCAGTCTAATCTTTAAATCTTTACTTTATTAGTTTTATATCAGTCTCAAAATGTCTCAAAACAATTTTACAATATCAAAAGTAACACAAATGTTTGTCAGGCTTCACAGATTATTGATTGAACAAACAAAACTTTTGGAATGGGTTAAGTATTTAATATGTTTGTTGTTGTGTTTTCTTTTCAGGACCGTTTGTTCTTTGTTATGGAATATGTGAACGGTGGAGACCTGATGTTCCAGATACAACGATCCCGCAAATTTGATGAAGCTCGTTCCCGGTTTTACGCTGCTGAAGTGACCTCAGCCCTCATGTTCTTGCACCACAACGGGGTCATTTACAGGTAACTTCACTACAAGTCCAAAGGTCAAGTACCATTTGGCCACTGTTTGGTTCCAACCCGCAAACCTCTTCTGTTTGTCTGACCGATAGACATAGCATCATTGTTAAGCAACCAGAAGAATGGAACATCTTTAAACATCTCAGGCAAAATATCATTGTAAGAGACAAAAGATGAATTCCAAATCTCGGGAAATTTAAGCCTGATCATTTTTTGGACAGAAAATTAGCCATCCGTTCCAAGTGTTTGCTCAAGTTTAATCCGGAATCCAGATCATTTATTTTCTCTGAGGCCTGTCACGCAATCCTGCACAGATTAGGTCTGATGAAATGGAGTCTGTATCACATGAACTGGCTCTGGCATGATGTGTTGTATTTTGCCTAGAGACAGGAGTCCTTGTCTCCCTTGTTTACCTCAGGTTGTTTACTTTGATGAGCTATGTGCAATGATTTATTCGTTCCCAGACAGTTTGTTTACCCTCTCAATTGTGTGTCATTAACCACACACAACGGGCAGTGCTTCTGGGGCTGGAAAGCCAGGCTTTTCTTGGGATCGTTTTTGCCCATCGCTGCTTTCTTTTTAAATCGTTATCTACTCTTACAGTCCAAAAATATCAGAAGTTTGCACATTGTTTACATGCAGCTCTATTTTGCAGTGTTGATAGCATGTTTTAATGTAAAACAACAAAAGAAAACGGCACATAATCTACATGCAAATAATGTTTTTGAACATACAGTGCATCCGGAAAGTATTCATAGCGCTTCACTTTTTCCACATTTGTTTATGTTCATGATTTGAAAAGGCATACACCTGTCTATATAAGGGCCCAGGGTTGACAGTGCATGTCAAAGCACAAACCAAGCATGAAGACAAAGGAATTGTCTGTAGAACTCCGAGACAGGATTGTCTTGAGGCACAAGGCTAGGGAAGGTTACAGTAAAATCTCTGCTGTTCTGAAAGTTCCAATGCACACAGTGGCCTCCATCATCCGTAAGTGGAAGATGTTTGAAACCACCAGGACTGTTCCAAGAGCTGGGGGGCCATCTAAGCTGAGTGATCGGGGGAGAAGGGCCTTAGTCAGGGAGGTGATCAATAACCCGATGGTCACTCTGTCTGAGCTCCAGCGTTCTTCTGTGGAGAGAGATGAACCTTACAGAAGGACAACTATCTGTGCAGCAATCCACCAATCAGGCCTGTATGTTAGAGTGGCCAGACAGAAGCCAGTCCCCGCCTGGAATTTGCCAAAAGGCATCTGAAGAACTCTCAGACCATAAGAAACAAAATTCTCTGGTCTGATGAGACTAAAATTAAACTCTTTGGAGTGAATGAAAGATGTTATACATGGACAAAACCAGGCATAGCTCAAAACCAGGCTAATACCATCCCTACAGTGAATCATGGTGGTGGCAACATCATGCTGTGGGGATGTTTTTCAACAGTATGAACTGGAAGACTAGTCAGGATAGAGGGAAAGATGAATGCAGCAATGTACAGAGACATCCTGAATGAAAACCTGCTTCAGAGTGCTCATGATCTCAGACTGGGGTGACGATTCATCTTCCAGCAGGACAATGACCCAAAGCACACTCGATGGAGTGGCTTCACAACAACTCAGTGAATGTCCTTGAGTGGCCCAGCCAGAGCCCAGACCTAAATCCTATTGAACATCTCTGGAGAGATCTGAAAATGGCTGTACACTGTCGCTTTACATCCAACCTGATAGAACTTGAAAGGTCCTGCAAGGTGGAATGGGCAAACATTCCTAAACAGGTGTGCCAAGCTTGCGGCATCATTTTCAAAAAGACTTGAGGCTGTAATTGCTGCCGAAGGTGCATCAACAAAGTATTGAGCAAAGGGTGTAAATACTTCTGCACATCTGATTTTTCAGGTTTTTTATTTTTATTAAATATGCTGCAATTTAAAAAATTAATTTTTCACATTGTCATTATGGTGTAATGTGTGTAGAATTTTGAGGAAATAAATTAATTTAATACATTTTGGAATAAGGCTGTAACATAAAAAAAATGTGGAAAAAGTGAAGTGCTATGAATACTTGCCAGAAACACTGTATACTTCCAAAATGGTGAATATTAAAAATGATTACAGATTAATTTACTGCTTAATTGTATGCATGATTGAACACTACACAATAAAACAGCACATTCAAGCATGTGACGTTTGAAAAGTTTGGCTACTTCACTGTACAACCACTAAATAATGTCCATTATACCAGTATTTTTTAGGTAGCATGACTTCTAAATGACAAGTTAAATGTTTAAAAAAGGTCAACTGAATCAGTATTACAGGTTCACTTGCCATTACACTGCAATATTATGCTAATTTTAGAGAGCATGACTATAAAATTAATATTTTAAATCTGTAAAAAGACAATCTGTTATTTAAACATGCAGTTTGTATGTTTAACACCAGGGGCCTGTTTCAGTAAGGAGGTTCAAACAACTCGGAGTTTAAACTTGAACTCTGAGTTGATTTACCAAGAGATTAAAAACTCTTGAGTTTTCGGTTTCAGAATAGCTGATCTGAGCTGGGTCAATCAACTTTGAGTAGACCAACTCAGAGTTAAGCGCGCACACCGTGACTTTAAAAAGGCATTATCAATGGAGTGCAGATATTACGAGTGACTACATCACTCGTAAGCAACATCTTAAAAAAAAGAGATCACCATTTCTTTCTCCGGCTGAACTTGATCTGCTCATGCAAAGTTATAGCAAATATAAGTGTATATATTTTAAAAGAAGCAACCATCAGTGAAACAGAGACAGTTAGCGTGGGAAAACAGCTGCTCAAGTCAATGCGTTATTTTTAATTTTAAGTATTTAAACATTTAAGTATAATAAAATAAGTAATGTAATGTGTGTCGTTTATACTTTTTTCTAAACTTTTATACACTTTTATCAGTTTTAATAGATTTAACAGCGCACTTGTTGTGTGTCTGCCTTTTTATTGATCAGAATAATAATCCCATTAATTTGGTAACAGTGCATGTCGAAGGTTAAGCTAATTATTTATGAAAAAAAGGATAAGCCTTGTACGTGACTTTGTTGTGTGTGACAAAAATGTAGGCAATAGCTATGTTTCCATCAAAATATAGGCTATTACATAAACTTGTGCAAAACTGGAATAACACCTAAAAATAAAGCAGCGTTTTTATCCAAAGAGTCGAAGAGAACACAATCGTCACTTCCTGATTAACTTGCGCCAAATATCAACAGTAAAAACAGAATTTACTGCGGTCAAAGAAGCTGCGTCAATGATTTTTTTATTTAATTAATGTACTTGCGCCTCAGAATACAATTGACACACAACGAACACGTGGGGGCGTTTGAAGCCAGACGCGGAGATCTTGACACACTCCAGACGCTCGGAGGTAATTAATATACACTAATACTGAAACAGTTAAGGCATTTTAGAATGACTAAAACAACATTTAAAATTTTCTGCAGTGTGCTCAGTCTGCTGGTTTGTCCTTTCACACACATTTTCATCATCATCTCTAACAAACCTTTTTTTAATGTACATACTGTAATTTGTTAAGTGAACTTCGTAGTTTATGTACATCTTATCAAATAAAAGTTTAACCTCAGTTATGCACATGTTTAATTATGCGTATTTTCAAAAGTTATGTTAATCACGACGTATCCATCAATCGTTTTTATGGGCATCTCCAAAATGAGCTCTAAAATAGGTGTGTGGAAATGTAAGGCTAATGCGAGAAATACGCTTCATCTTTAAAAAAGGGGAGGAGACCGACAAAAACTCAGAGTTTAGGGAATAAAACCTGCTCCGGACCAGGTTAGATTTACAGAGTAAGTTACCACAGTTACTGACTCTGAGTTAAAGTTACCTTTCTTTCAGAAACAGGCTTGACTTACCCTGATTTCTTGAGTTTGACAAACCTGCCATTTTGAAACGGAAAACCCAGAGTTTCTCTCATTTCAGGGTTAAAATACTCTGAGTTTTCACTTAACCTCCTTTCTGAAACAGGCCCCAGGTGGTTAAACTAGGCTGTGCATTCCTGGATCAAAACAAACGCAAACGCAGGTTGCCAGATTGACGACCAAGGAGCGAGTGTTATGATCAAGCATATTGTTAGGACACAGTGTCACAATGTAACCTTCTTACTTAATGTTTACATTCGTAATATTTATAATATTTGCTAGATAATAACCTCATGTGGAGCTCTGAATCTGCGTCTCATCTCAGAGTCTGCTTTTGTCCACTGGAGGTCGCATTTCGGTCACGGGTGCATGCTTTAAGAGCCTTTCTGAATAAATGAAATGTGCAGTTTTCCGTGAAGGCAACCAGTAGTGCTGAAATATAATTGGCTAAACTGGTAGTAGTCGGGGTTAAGGGAAGTCAAACAGCTCAGGATAACTTAAAACAGGGACCACAAGTCTCTGATCTTCATCAAATTTTCCATAGTCGTCTTAGCAACACAAACAATGCTGTCACCTCAACTGAAACTCCACCTCTGCTTTCATTTGATTGGAGAATGAAAAAGACGCGACTGATACAGCCTGCTTTTTCCCACGCAGAGTTGACTTTTGCAATGGCAAAAACATAGAAAAAAAGCAACTCTCCACGCAAAAAACGTTAGTCACCCAGAAGTAATTCAGAGTAAAGCAAGTGCTCCTTCACATTGAGAGAAGCCAGCTGAGGTACAGAAGCTGATCTGGGATCGGGTTATCATATGGAGCGCGTCCTTAAGATTGCATATGAAGGGCGATGATCGACACACAGCTTTAATGGAAAGAAAGTGAATGCAGACATTTTTATATTTATTTCAGCATGCTTTTTAGGATAAAAATACACGAAAAATATGGGAAAATACTTAATGATAGGATGATAGAGGGATAAAATGGTAAAATACAGGAGAATCCCAGCAAAAAATGGGAGCGTTGAAATGGATGAAATGGTACAGGAATGGTTTGTGGAAAAACTGTTTTGCAAGATTACGCAAAACATCTTTGCAAGGGGACGCA